ACGACTGAGTCGTGCAGCTACATAGCACGGCCAGCAACGCAGTACTCATTCCCGTATCTCCGGGAACCGAGGTTACGTTCCCTATCGATACTTCACTGGTACTGCGTCTGCTAAGATGCTATGGGGAACCAGTACAATCCCGCCGTGCTATGCTAGAGGAACGACTAATACTTGAACTTGCCTTAAGCACCCAAGGGGTCCCAGAGGGACCAAGTATTTTGCAGGGAAGCCCCGCAGGAGGCATTAGGGCCAAACTCACAGAGGTCGGCCCGGCCCGTAGTAATCGTTCGAAGAGAAATTCAAATGGCAAATGTGGATGGCGAGGCCCAGCCGGCCGCTGCACAATTTTTTGCAATGGACACACCGCTAGACCAAGCCCAGGAAGAGGCGACGCCACTAGTTGAGTGGGCTCTTACTCCCATGGGGCATTGTAGGCCCAAAGAAGAGTACGCTAGCGCAATAGCATCAATTATCCATTTGGAAAGTCTCTGCATAGTCTCTAGAGTTATTACCTGTGCTCTGAACAGAGTAGAGAGCACCTTAGGTATGTAACCATGCCTTGGCTTCAGGACGACTTTAGAGTCGCTGGGCCCGAATTCGAGGCAGGTGGGGCTCACAGAGAGCGCCTGCAGCTCTCCCATATGCTTAACCGATGCTAACACCAGTAGCAGAGCGGTTTTCAGCATCAGGGGACGAAGGTCAATGGACTTTAGCGGCTCAAAGGGAGGTGGACAGATCCCATATAGGGACGGTGACGGAGCGAGGCGGGTTGAGCCTCCTAGACCCCTTCAAAAAACGAACAACTAGATTGTTCCTGCCCACCGATTGGCCAGCTATAGGAGCGTGAGAGGCTGCTATGGCTGCTACATAGACCTTGAGTGTGGAAGGGGAACGACCCTTATCCAACAGCTCTTGCAAGAAGGACAATGTCGCAGGAATTTGGGCCTGCGCCGCGGGCTGTACACCAGGCAGAGAAGACAGACCATTTAAGGGCATAGAGGCGTCTCGTAGACGGTGCTCTTGCCTGAGAGATTGTATTTAGTATGCTCTCTGGGAGGTCCGCAAGCTCCCATCGAGAGGCCAAAGGTGCAGAGCCCACAGCTCGGGCCCGGGGTGCCATATCATTCTGTTCGCCTGAGAGAGGAGGTCCCGTCTCAGGGGGATGGGCCACAGGGCTGCTGAGACCACCCTAGCGATTTATATAGGACACCACCGTCATGCTTTCCGAGCGGACTTAAACATAGTGTCCCCTTAGGTCTGGCAGAAAGGAGCGAAGGCCCAAACATACTGCCAGCATTTCCAGGCAGTTGATGTGAAGCCGACACTCCTCTTTCGACCAGTGGCCAAAAGCCGGTTTGCCGTCGCACAGCGCTCCCCAACCTGTGTTGGAAGCGTCTGTTGAGACCACCTTCCTTCTGCAGACCATTTCCAGGGGACCGTCCCTTTCCATCTGAAGGTCTTTCCAAGGGGCCAGAGCTGCTACGCAGGCCTGGTCCACCTTGATACGAAGGCGCGGGACAGAACTCGTGGTCGCATGCGAAGCGGGCCCAACTGAAGTACTGGAGACGCGGAGGCAAAGAGGCCCAGCATCTTCTGAAACGCCTTAAGAGGGCGAGAGGCTTCAACTTTGAATGAGGCCGCGAGCTGCTGAATGGCCAATGCACATTCTGGCGTGACTACCGCCCTCATTTGAGTCGAGAACTGTTCCCAGGAACGATATCCGTTGGCTGGGGAACAGCACGCTCTTGGCAAAATTGACCCTGAGTCCCAGTTATTCTAAGTG